CGCAGCTGGAGAAGTAAAACTTAACAATTGTGGAAATGGAGAAAAGGAAAAAGAGATTGAGAAGATAGGGCCAAATAATTAGGAAGCCATATGGAAAGAAAGGAACATGAAGTCTACATTAAAAGTACATCAAGTGAAGTCAGCCAATCCCAAAGGAACAAATACCAAAGGAACAAATGACCAATGTGATTCTACAATATGCATACTGAGAAAAATGAGAAATTATATCCCATCTATGTGTGATATAGCAAAGTATATAAGTGCATTCTATTGTCATATATAACTAACTAAAACAATTTTTTAAAAAAAAGTACATCAAGAGGGTAGAGAGTTTAAGGAAGTCAGAATAGTGCCAAATACTTTTATCTTTCAAGTAAGTTAAGAACCAAAATTACCCCTGTGATTTACTGACCAAGAAGACAGTCTCTGGGTGAAGGCAGTTTTAGTGGGGTGGTACAGATGGAAACCAGACTGCTGTGGGAGGAAGATGAAGCGAGGAATATAATATACACATACAAATATATGTGTATGACCTGTCATCCATCATCAAAACATATGTTAATCTCTATTTGCCTATAGGTTTAAATTGAATGATTCAATATATAATGTGAACTAATTTAAATTATACAATTAGAAGATGAATAGGGTTATCATCATTTAATATTTTAGTGAACACTTTTAAATAAAGCTGGATCATGAAAATAATAATATTCAATGTCAAAGAATCATTGTATTATTGTTTTACATTTTAAAATATTTTAGGTAAATATTATGTTGTCAACTAAAACATTAAAGAATACAGTACTGCTTAAAAGAGGAAGTCTTTCCCCACTACTTACATTTTCCATGTTATTTATTTTTTTATAAATAGGATAATTATTACCAGGTTCCCATTTAACTCTCAAGGTGTCTAGAATGTGTCCTGTCTTGGGCTTTTGTCTTATTGTTGTTGTGCTAAGTATTTTTATAGGATAGGATTTGTATAATGAGGGTTAACATTCATGGAACAGCAGAGCTCTCTCATCATGTGCAATAACTTCTGGTCTTATAAAACAAAAAAGCTTTCACTATTTAAAAAGAAAATATCATCTATGATAGAATGAATGATGTCCTTGTATGATTATGCTCTCAACCATCTTTCAGGTGATTTATTTATTCATTAATTGATTTATCACATAACACTTAGCATCATCTGAGTCTTTTAGGTGCCAGGCACTGTTTAGATGCTAGGAGAGGCATCAAAACAACATATAAAATCCCTTACTTTTGTAGTCTCCAGATTTCTAAATCACAAATAAGATCCCTAACTCTAGATTCTGCAAGGATGCCTTGAATACTCAACTCAAGCTCTGATGCCCCACAACATGCTGCCCCCACCAGTATCTGGCACCTCACACTGAATTATGATGTTCTTTTCCATATGGATACTGTCAAGGAAAGGCAGTGCAAATCAAATGAAAGTTAAAATCTTACTTAGGGGCTGGGGATGTGGCTAAAGCGGTAGTGCACTCGCCTGGCATGCATGGGGCCCGGGTTCCATCCTCAGCATCACATACAAACAAAGATGTTGTGTCTGCCGAAAACTAAAAATAAATATTAAAAATTCTCTCTTTTTTAAAAAAATCTTATTGAGATGGTGTACATCAGGAAAAACTTGAAGATCAATAACTCCTCTCACAAAGCAGGATAGGAGTTTTAGGGTGCAAGGGAAGGAGAGGTGTATTGTACTTGTGAGTCTAGCCTAGCTTGAGGTAATCTTCATCTTTAACTTCTGCCTAACTTCCAGGTAAGTTGTTTGGAGATTGTCCTCACTTTCATGCTTCTTGCTTGGGATGGACCTTAAAAAAATTCTATCCCTCCTGACAACTGTCAGAACACTGCTTTCAAGAGCTTTTTAAATTGTTTTTAATCTTTGCTGTTTTTCAAGGTTGGTTGGACAGCAAGGAGATAGTTAAACAGTGGAGGAAGGAAAAAGGAAAAGAGGAAGAGAAAACAGCAGATGAGGTTGAAGCAAGCAAAGCAGGGGTCTGTTTTGATTCTCTTACCAGCTCTCTTCACATTGGTGAAGATACAGTTTGGAATATTACTCAACAATAAAAGAGAATAAAACCATGGCATTTGCAGGTAAATGGATGGAGTTAGAGAAGTTAATGTAAGTGAAGTTAGCCAATCTCAAAAAATCAAGTGCTGAATGAATGTTTTCCCTGATATAAGGAGGCTGATTCATAGTAGGGTATGGAGAAGTAGCATGGGAGGAATAGACGAACTCTAGATAGGGCAGAGGAGTAGGAAAGGAAGGAAGGA